GAATTTGACTTTTGGTTTGGGACATATGTGGATATGAGAAAGTGATTGAGGGCTTTTGGAGCATATCACTAAGCATTTTGAGCAAGCAAGCCATTAAGCAACACCTCATACCATTTTAATAGTATTGGCTTTTCCTATAGACTCAATGTGATCTTGGATCACTAAAATGAAAATGTAGAGTCTTGAGCTTGAGCTAATATGTGTTCTTAGCATTTTGAGGGGTCCACATTTCTAATCCATGCCATGCCAATCATTGAATTTTCTGAAATGATCATCTTGAAATAGTATTAGTTCAATGAGCTATATGTTGTTAGAAATTATCAAACCACCAAGGGTTAGTTGCACTTTCACCACCCCTATGTGGGCTGGTGTGCCTCCCTCCCATGGCCCATATCTTTCGCCGGGGGGTTCCGGTAAGCCCCCCCCCCTCCCGGTACTCCGATATGTACCCGATACAATCCAAAACACTTCCGGTGTCCGAATACTATCATCCAATATATCAATCTTTACCTCTCGACCATTTCGAGACTCATCGTCATGTCCATGATTTCATCCGGGACTTCGAACAACATTCGGTCACCAAATCACATAACTCATATAATGCAAATCGTTCTTGAACGTTAAGCGTGCGGAACCTATGGGTTCGAGAACTATGTAGACATGACCGAGACTCCTCTCCGGTAAATAACCAATAGCGAAACCTGGATGCTTATATTGGTTCCCACGTATTATACGAAGATCTTTATCGGACGAACCGTTATGACAACATACGTTATTCCCTTTGTCATCGGTATGTTACTTGCCCGAGATTCGATCGTCGGTATCTTCATACCTAGTTCAATCTCGTTACCGGCAAGTCTCTTTACTCGTTCCGCAATGCATCATCCCGCACCTAACTCATTAGCCATATTGCTTGCAAGGCTTATATGATGTGCATTACCGAGAGGGCCCAGAGATACCTCTCCGATACTCAGAGTGACAAATCCTAATCTCGATCTATGCCAACCCAACAAACACCTTTGGAGATACATGTAGAGCATGTTTATAATCAACCAGTTACATTGTGATATTTGGTAGCACACAAGGTATTCCTCCGGTATCCGGGAGTTGCATAATCTCATAGTCAAAGGAATATGTATAAGTCATGAAGAAAGCAATAGCAATAAAACTTAATGATCATTATGCTAAGCTAACGGATGGGTCTTGTCCATCACATCATTCTCCTAATGATGTGATCCCGTTCATCAAATGACAACACATGTCTATGGTTAGGAAACTTAACCATCTTTGATTAACGAGCTAGTCTAGTAGAGGCTTACTAGGGACACCGTGTTCTGTCTATGTATCCACACATGTATCAAGTTTCCGGTTAATACAATTCTAGCATGAATAATAAATATTTATCATGATATAAGGAAATATAAAATAACAACTTTATTATTGCCTCTAGGGCATATTTCCTTCAAACACATGGATTGGTCAAACTAGCATTAATTGATCACGAAGTTCAACACAATACCACATCGACCTATCTACCATACTATATCTACCTATCTACCTACTACTATACTACACATACTATCATCCAGCTCAACACATTGCCCATCTACCACAACAACATGAACATCAACAATGTCGAGAAGCAAAACCTAGCATTCTAGCAAAATGACAACACTACTATATGATCTACCACATCATCACATGCTCACATATCTAAGGCCTACCATACTACCCACAGATCTACTCCTACCACATGCTCACATATCTAAGGTACAACGAGTAGGCAGTGATTGAACTTAAAACCATCAGTGTAGACAAGCAGGAGGTGCGAAACAACTTAGGGAAGAAGAGGAAGAAGAAGGATCGGCGACGCCGACCACCACCGACCGGTGTGTCGCTTACCTGCTCGTCGGTGAAGAATACGCCCGGGACAGAGAGCTCGAAGGGGGAGGAAATGGTGGCGGGGGTTTCGAGGTGAGTGGACGAGGGCTAAATAGGCCGATCAAATTGGCGAGAGGTGACCCAATTCCTCCATCCGATTTTTCAGGGACACGCGTGGGCTCGCACCATCGAGCAGCTCGCATGAGCTCGGCGCTGCATTCCCCTCCCTTGCAAGCCGAACACTTGGTTGAGAGGAAAGAGTGGGCCAATAGTTGGATATAGGTCAGGCATCCAAACGGGCCAAAGCCACATTCCTAGGCCTAACTGAGCCATACGCAAGCAACCAAACATACCCTAAGATAAGGTTACAAAAAGCAACCTTTGAGAAGCCTCAGTTTTATTCTTTTCCCTTTTGGGGGTTGCCGATGCTCGGCAACTTTTGCTCTTGGGAATAAAACTTAGTTTTACATTAGATAGTCTTATTTGTCCATTAATTGCTTGTCATCAATACCACAATCCGCAATAGGGTAGGGTGTGCGTGCGTGCGTTTATAGGGGTGAGTGTATGCTCGTGTATGCGAGGGACTTTGGTTGTAATGTGTTTAGAAGAAAAAAAACTCAAAGTAACTTTGAGTCAACCTAACGAACGTTCATTGGCAGAATTCATGCGTTCCTTTGTCTTGGCTCTCCTCTCCGGCCTGGCCGAACCAAGAATAGAAAATAAATTATTGGCAAAACAATTTGTCTCTTCCGTGGAGCGTGGCTCGCCTCACCCCTCTGTGCTAATAATACCACCTCGACGGTCACCCTCCTACGTATATAGGCCTTGTCCTCCCTTCCACGCGAGCGATAGGGTTGTCCCCTCTCTATCTATCTATCTATCTATCTATCTATCTCGAGCTACCCAAACAAAGCAAGCATACCACAAGATAGAGAGTTAGATGTCCATGGATCGGAGCCTCCAATGGAGCAGGCCGGCGTCGCTGCTCCTCTTGGGGGCGGCGTTCCTGGCGGCGGCGGCGGCCGTAACGAGCGCCAACCCGGCGTACAACCCCGACCCCTATAGCGTGGTCGACCACTTCAACCGCGCCGTCCACAGGCATGCATGCATTAATATTTAATACTATTATAGGAGTACAGTATATACGGAGTAGAGTAGTTACTAGTACGTTGTAGCGAGTGAGTGGTAGATGAATTAAGTGGCATTGGCATGAACATGTGGTGAGCGTGCAGGTCGACTAGCCCGCGTCGTGCGCTGTCGTCGGACAAGTCGAAGAAGGCAAAGTACACGGGCCCGTGCATGGCGACGAACCCGATCGACCGGTGCTGGCGCTGCCGCAAGGACTGGGCGACGGACCGGCAGCGGATGGCCCGCTGCGCCAAGGGGTTCGGCCGCGAGACCACCGGCGGCCTCAAGGGCAAGATCTACATCGTGACCGACCCCAACGACGATGACTTCACCAACCCGCGGCCCGGGTCGCTCCGGTGGGGCGTGGTCCAGACGGAGCCGCTGTGGATCATCTTCGCCAGGGACATGGTGATCAACGCCTCCCAGGAGATCATCATCCAGAGCGACAAGACCATCGACGGGCGCGGGGCGCAGGTGCACGTGGCCAACGGCGGCGGGCTCACCGTCCAGCACCAGAACAACGTCATCATCAACAACCTCCACGTGCACGGCATCAAGCACACGGACGGCGGCAACGTGTCGATGACGGCAACCCACTCCACCATCCGCACCCGCGCCGACGGCGACGGCGTCTCCATCTTCAACGCCACCAAAGTGTGGGTGGACCACCTCTCCATGGATAATTGCGAGGACGGCATGGTTGACGTGGTGGCCATGTCCACGGCCGTCACCATCTCCAACACCCACCTGGCCCACCACAACGACGTGATGCTCTTCGGCGCCGACGACAAGAAGCCGGAGGACAAGGTGATGCAGGTCACCGTCGCCTTCAACCACTTCGGGAGAGGCCTGGTGCAGAGGATGCCTCGCTGCCGCTACGGCTTCTTCCACGTCGTCAACAACGACTACACCAACTGGCTCATGTACGCCATCGGAGGCAGCAGCGCGCCCACCATCCTCAGCCAGGGGAACCGCTACAGAGCACCACCCAACATGGCTGCCAAGGAGGTACGTCCTCTCCTCCTCACTCCTCACTCCATCTATGGATGGACCCACCGGTTCAAATCAAATCATCAATTCAAATTCAAACGCGCGCGCGCGCGAATTGAATGGCTGGAGCAGGTGACCAAGCGCGACTACGCGCCCGAGTCCGAGTGGAAGAACTGGGTGTGGATATCGGACGGCGACCTGATGATAAACGACGCCTACTTCACCACGTCCGGCGGACAAATTGGCCAGAAGCTCAACGGTAAGGACCTCATCAAGCCCAAGCCTGGGGAGTACGTCAGGAGGCTCACCCGCTTCGCCGGCCCGCTGGACTGCAACCCGGGCAGTCCCTGCTGATCGTCGCCGTACCATACCATACCTGCCAGGCGGAGTGGCCGGATATGCATGTCGTCGCCGGCCACACGCCCAAGGCAAGGAAACAAGAGTTAACGTTCCACGCGACAACCCATCCATCTTTGATGCTACACTAGACAACAAGGCCGTAAGCATGCATAGAGGGAGGAATGTAGGAGGGTGGCCGAATTCATCAGTCTGCTGCTCTCTCTTCGTGTAGTCAATGTACGTACCTATCACTACTTGCTTTTCTTCTTCTTCTTCCGAGGAAATAGGAATTGTGTACCTATATATACATATACGCATGCATGTTGTACAACATGGATGTACTGTAACCGCTCTTGTTTATCATTTTTTTTTTTTGTATACCCTAAGTATCCATGTTCAGAAAGAAATGCGGCTTGTTTTGTACGTATTACTTCTTTCAAATTCTTCTGTCAACCAAACACAATAAGCATTTCAATCTTCTCCCATCTCACATAGACAAAATGAACACTCAACTAAACGAGTCACCATTTCACAGAATTCCAGATGAATTTAGTACTAGGGACATGTCAAGAACCTTGTTACGATGGCATACCATACAAGCAAGGTTTTGGGTCTAGTTTAGACGGAAGACAAGAAAAGTTGATCACTATCTCAACCTAATTTCAGATGCCCTCTTTCAACGCATAAACTCTGCTTCGGAACGACGGGGGCAATCTACTTATCCCTGCATCAATTTCCTGAAAACAAGCAACTCTAGTATTAGGAATCTGTCGCAGTTTTCTTTTTCTTTTACACAAGGATAGGTCTGGATGTCTGATGATGGGGTCAAGAGATACAATAGATTTACTTACAAAGCATGTAGAGTCAGATATAGGGGATTTTCACAGAGCAAGGGAAATGCAGTAAGGTAATTGATATCTCTGCATTCTTTTAGCATCATCGACATGTTGTGCTTTGTCACAAGGAGTTCAGACTATAATAGGGTTGCGCATAATTGGCGAAGTTGATTAACATAAAAGCTAGAACTAACATGTGTGGAGCCAAAGAATCCTTAACATGAGCGAAATTGGGATAAATCGGCCAGTAAAGGGGGTAAAATAGACTTCAATCATCAATAGCTAAAATTTGAATAACAAGCCATACTATTTCAACAGAGAGAACTGAAACAATAGATATTAACCCACCTCTGTTGTATAACGAGCCAAAAAGTGAATTAGTAGAATGGCTCTGTTTTCAAACTTCTCAGAGTGATTCGCAATCTGGAAATATCATCAAACATAAATGGAAGCATAAGCACTATTACGGATACTAGGTGATCTTTCTTTCCTATGACAGACAGAAATAATAAAAGTAATTGCTGAATGACCTCAAACAAGTGTATGTGCCCATATTCCCTTGCATGCTCAATCGAGACAGAGTCATCAAGAAAAGTACTCTGAAAATTTTAAGAACAGCTCAGCAGATCAATAATAGGAATAAAGAAAAAATCATGAGAGGAAAATAACAGCAAAAGTTTGAGCACAAGAAGTGAAACATGCTTCTAACCATCAGGATTCGTTTAATTGCAGCTAACTGGTGGCACATGAGTTTTCCCTAGATGTGATAAGTTCTGTTTGCAAAATAACAGCAGCTAGCTTGCATGCAGTGAAATTTGAATATACTTGGGAGACAAAAACTGCTTGCTATTTTTAATAAAATGGAAGTTGGTTATATGATGATAAAGCGGTAAGACGTAATACCTCCATCACAAGAATTTTCGCCTTCAATACGTCTGCGTTATCAGGATCAAGAATGAAATCTGACATCGTATCCCCAGTGAAAGCAACCTCGGGTGTTATCACTGTATTAGTAATCTGCAACGAATGGAAAATTGCAAGCACATGATCACATCAACAACTCTTAGTAGATTCTGATTTACTTATTCCTACGAAATATTGACATCCACCAAGACATACAGACCTCCACGCCTGATAGCTTCAACCTTTTGATCTCGCTTCCTGGGAGGCCAAGATAATCCTGCTTGAGCTTTTGCTTCACCGAGTATATCACGTACCCCTAGAACCATATCAGATATCACTTTCAACCAAGCCATTGTAAAATTCCTCACAAATCAACCAGGGGACGCACAATTCCAAGAACTGAAGCAAGTTCCCTCACCTGGCTGGGTATGGTATGGTAGGTCTTGAAGGCCCTGACCTTGAGATCCCTCCTGAGCTCATACTCCTCGCCAATGTCGAGTGGGACGAGGGTGTGGTTGAGCTCGGACTGGTCCATGGCGCGGTGCACGTCGAACAGCCGCTCCACGAGCTCCCTGAGGTACTTGGGGACGAAGATGGTGGGCGGGCGCAGCCTGTATAGCCCCCGCGTGGCCACGTACATGGGGAGGCCCCCGATGTGGTCGAGGTGGGCGTGCGAGATGAAGAGGAAGTCCTGCGCCACGGCGCGCTGCGGGCACCGGCCTATGTCGAAGGCGAGGCTCAGCGTCGGGAAGATGACGCACGTCTCGTGCCCGCCGATGGAGATGCCCTCCACGGGGTACCCCTCGATTTCCAGCCGGGGCTTCGCCTTAGGCTTTATGGCTGGGGAGGGGCTTGGAGGAGGGGCCGTGGAGGTCGCCGCCTCGGCCGACTTGCCGCTCTTCGCCATGCCACCGCCGCCGCTGCCGCTGCCGCTGCCGCCGGGTGGAGGTACGATTGGTGAATTACTGAAATACAGAAAGGTCCTTAGGCCTTGTTTGGTGGAGGAGGTTTGGAGGGGAATATCCGCAGGGTTCAAAATCTTCAGAAATCCTTGACAGCTTATTTGATATGTAGGGATTGAACAGGCCAATCCTCTCCGTTCTCATGAATCCCCTTCAATTCATGTGGTACAAAAAAAACCCCAACACACCCATGAAACTGGACGCTTGCTTTACTGCTGCTGTTGTAGGAGATTTAACCAAATAGAGAAGTTTATGAGGAGGAGGGATTAGTGGGGAATTGAGAGAATTGGGTGAAAGAGAGGAATTAACCAAATCCCCTCAGACCCCCCTCCACTCCGGGCTGCAAAACTTCCCGTGTCAAACGAGGCTTTATGAAGGGGGGAAATACCCTTGTGCTCTCGGGTGCACAAGCCCCTGATATGGAAAAGACATTTTGGCAATTGACAAAAAAAATGAAACTTCCCGAAAATAAAGTTAACTTTGTGTTGTACTCGCATGGCAAGTTTAGCCAAGGAAAAACCCCGTTGATTTCAGGCAAAAAGTAATAATTCAGGGACCAAAATTACAAATAGTGACTTATATATAGTGTTGAATTATTATTATTTTGACTAGAGCACTGTGAAAGTCATTCATGGAAGAAACTTTCTACACGAGTAAAACACTCCATCATGTTTTGTTTCCAAAAGTTTCGAGAAATTTTGACATTTTCAATTATTTCTTTTTTTTGGTATAATTCAAGTGCACGTGCACCCGAAATGCCCTCCACGGGGTACCACTCAATTTCCAACCAGGGCTTCGCCTTAGGCTTTATGACTGGGGAGGGGCTTGGAGGAGGAGGGGTCATGAAGGTCCTCGCCTTGGTTGACGTGTCATTCTTTGCCATGCCACCGTCGTCGCTGCCGAATGGCGGAGTTATAGAAACATCCCTAAGAGCATCAACAACCGGAGTCCTCAAATCTCCTATTACGTCCGGGCGCACGACCCGATCATGAAATTGCCGCCAGATTGGACCTTGAAGACCCCACTATACATTCAGGTTGTCCAACACAAACTTGTCCATATGTGGGGTGGATATAGGGACGCTCGAACGCGTCCATCACGTCGGACCGTACCGGCCCACCGCAACCCCGCAAATATGTGTCCCTATCCGCATCCTGAACTAAACCCTAGCCACTCAACTCCACTTGCAGTCCGCTCCACTTCCCCAGCTCCTCCTCGACGATCTCCGACATTCTTGGGCATGGTGAGCAACAGATATGAGTCTGGCAACTCTGTATCCATCGATTGGGACCTCATCTCATGCGGGGACAAGGAGTTAGCCATCCGCTAGCTCTTCGCCGGTCCTGGGAGGAAGCCCGAGATTCGCCGTCGGAGTCGCTTTGATGGGTGTTCCGTCGGTCCCATGATATGGTAGTGCTAGGGTACTCTAATGACGATAAAATAACGGATTGCAAACAACCTTTAATTGCGAGTTTTCCTCCTTTCCATTACATACTCATCTGGGATTTTGACCCGCTTATGGGGTGAGCGGCCACTAGGCCTAAGCTGTGGTGCAACATATTTATGTTCAGATGGAGTAAATTCATGCTTATTGACTCATGCCTTTCTAGTCTCCCCATGCATATGATGGGGATGTATATTTTGCCGGAAGGGGTGTATAACTCCTTTGATAAGGATCTATAATGTTTCTTCTGGCGGGGGACTGGTGGACGTTAGAAATACCATATGGTCAAATGGGTTGATATCTGCTTGCCCAAAGACCTGGAGGGTCTAAGTTTTTTTAAGAACGTAGGGTCTAGGTATTATTGCGTCCCCTCGCATTAATGTAGCCCTTATGTTGAGATGGGCTTGGAGGATCCTTAGAGAGGATGGTGGCTCGTGGCTCTTTGCATATTTACAGGGATGTCCACTTCTAGTGTGTTATGTAGGGAGGAGTCTCAGTTCTGAAAGTCGATACACTCAATCAAGAAGGGGATTCGTCTAGGGCTCTATCTCTATAAAAATGGAGATGGGCCCTCTTATGGCTTGAGCCTTGGGTGGGTGGTTCTAAGCTATGCATGGATTTCCCGAACTTGTTCCTATCTATGTGGACCCCTTCCTATTGGTTTCCCCACCCTCCCAAAATGGATTCTGGAACATCTTGTTCTGACGTTCATTTGGACCCGAGGAAACCGTTGCTTGGACCGGCCTTGAGGCTTCACTTATGACATCACACCCGGATTATCCAGACGCCATATCATAGCGCTTGTCCTCTTTGTAATTATTCTCCATTCGCTCTGCATATCACGACCTCTATTGACGGTCGACGTTGGCGTGCACCACACCTATGTGGGGCGCCCTGTCCTCTAAAGATCAAGATCTTCATGTGTCAGTTTCTACGTGAACGATCCCATAAAAAACAAAGGTGGCCAACCGGCATGGGCCTAGTGATTGGCTATGCCTTCTTTGTATGTCCTAGAGAAGGGGACTCAAACATTATTTTCCTACCCTGAGGCTCATTTTCTTTGGTGCTTTGTCCATGAGGGGCTCTAGGCTGGAGTGTGAGGTCCTAGACCTGGCTTGGTTTCTCAAAACTCGGGCCAACCAAACCTAGAGGAGAGCTTCTTCATCTTAGTGTTTGCGACAATGACATGTACCCTTTGGACGGTGCATAACATGATGGTGATTGAGCGAGTCTTCTTACGGCGGTCCACTGACTCTATCTTCAAATTCCTAGCGTTTTTGCACCTCTGGCACCCACTCTCTAGGCAGCAGAATCCAGACCGGCTTTAGCAGCATGATGGATGCAATGACTATGGCTGCATGTCCCCTTGCCCTGCCTCATGGCCACTGATCTATCGACCACTCGGTGGTTTTTCCCTTTTCTTTGTTGTTTCATTTGGGTGTGTGCACTGTAGCTGTTGGGGAACATAGTATTTCAAAAAAATTCCTACGATCATGCAAGATCTATCTAGGAGATGCATAGCAACGAGAGGGGAGAGTGTGTCTACGTAGCCCTGTAGACCGAAAGCGGAAGTGTTTAGCAATGCGGTTGATGTAGTGGAACGTCTTCACGATCCAACCGATCCTAGCACCAAACGTACGACACCTCCATGTTCAGCACACGTTCAGCACGATGACGTCCCTCGATCTCTTGATCTAGTTGAGGACGAGGGAGAGTTTCGTGAGCACGACGGCGTGGAGATGATGATGATGAAGCTACCGGCGCAGGGCTTCGCCTAAGCACTACGACGATATGACCGAGGTGGTAAATTGTGGAGGGGGCACCGCACACGGCTAAGAGATGTCTGTTGTCTTTGGGGTGCCCCCCGCCTCCGTATATAAAGGGGGGAGGAGGAGGCTAGCACCCTAGGTGCGCGCCAAGTGTGGGGAGTCCTACTAGGACTCCCTAGTCCTAGTAGGATTCCCCTTCTCCTTTTTTTCCTTTTCCGGAGTAGCAAAAGGGGGAAAGAGGGAAGGAGTAGGAGAGGGAAAGGGGGGCGCCACCCCCACCCCTTGTCCAATTCAGATTTGCAAGGGGGGGTCCACCTCCTGGCCGGCCCTCTCTCTTCTCCACTAAGGCCCATGTTGGCCCATTAACTTCCCGAGGGGGGGGGGGTCCGGTAACCCCCGGTACTCCGAAACTTATCCGAAACCATCCCGGTGTCCGAATGTAACCTTCCAATATATGAATCTTTACCACTCGACCATTTCGAGACTCCTTGTCATGTCCGTGATCTCATCCGGGACTCCAAACAAACTTTGGTCATCAAATCACATAACTCATAATACAAATCATCATCGAACGTTAAGCGTGCAGACCCTACGGGTTCGAGAACTATGTAGACATGACCGAGACACATCTCCAGTCAACAACCAATAGCGGAACATGGATGCTCATATTGGCTCCTACATATTCTACGAAGATCTTTATCCGTCAAACCGCATAACAACATACGTCATTCCCTTTGTCATCGGTATGTTACTTGCCCGAGATTCGATCGTCGGTATCTTCATACCTAGTTCAATCTCGTTATCGGCAAGTCTCTTTACTTGTTTCGTAATGCATCATCCCGTAACTAACTCATTAGTCACATTGCTTGCAAGGCTCATAGTGATGTGCAACTCAAGCCGAGCACCAGCCCGCACCACCTCGCCGCAGAGGCAGAGAAACAGCGGCTCCATAATACACGTACGACCTACAACAGGACCTGGACAATAGAGTCGGTCAGACTAGATCAATCTACAGATCAAGGGGTGTGCCCCCGCACGAGAAGACGACCATCAGGCCTGGCGCGATAAGCACAACCTCACCAGGGAAGAAAACCGCATACGAACCTCATCCGAACTGCGTCGAGATGTTGCCCAATACAGAGGCACTGCACACCCCCTATGCTTCATCGATGAGGTAATGGAGCACCAGTTCCCAGAAGGGTTTAAACCCGTGAATATCGAATCATACGATGGTACGACGGACCTCGCAGTCTGGATTGAAGAGTTTCTTCTCCACATTCACATGGCTCGTGGCGACGATCTACATGCCATCAAATACCTCCCCCTAAAGCTTAAGGGACCGGCACGACACTGGCTAAACAACCTTCCAGAAAACTCCAGCGGCAGCTGGGAAGATTTGGAAGACGCCTTTAGGTACAACTTCCAAGGTACCTACGTACGGCCCCCAGACGCCGATGACCTCAGTCACATAGTCCAGCAACCCGGAGAGTCAGCCCGGAAACTCTGGACCAAGTTCTTAATTAAAAATAACCAAATTGTAGACTGTCCGGATGCCGAAGCCCTCGCGGCCTTTAAACACAGCGTCTGGGATGAATGGCTCGCCAGACACATCGGCCAAGAAAAGCCGAAGTCCATGGCAGCCCTTACCACACTCATGAGCCGCTTTTGCATGGGAGAAGACAACTGGCTAGCCCGTAGAAGCAATAGCACCAACGACCCTGGCACCTCCGAA